TCTTCCTTGTATAACAAGCTTATGACTTTTCAAATTTTTTGGATTCTTTCGTTAAAAAAAAAAAAAAGCTATATTTAAAAAAAAAAAAAAGAATCTCCACGGTATTATTATTTTTTTCCTTCCTATTTATTTGTCTAGAAGCTATTCTGTGAAAGCTCGGAAAAACAGCTTTTTTTTTTTTTTAATTTGTCACACAAATGCTTTTTATTTATGTTATTTAAAATGTGCAGCGTGTTCAGCGAGGAAAGAGCCTATTTTTCCCAAATGCTACTAATTTTATATGAGATTTGAAGAAAAATCTGGGGGTATTTATACTGCATTTTTGTATAAGATGTATAAACTTTTTAACAGGGAAAGATGACTTTTTTTTTTTTTTCCGGATGTAAATGAAAAATAAAATTTTTTTTAAACACTCTTGTCTTCGTAGCATCAATAATTTCAACTTCATGAACGAGAATGAACACATTTTAGATGAAATGTTTGTCTTTGAGGGCTGTCATACCGGGATTTCTGGGGGAGATTTGTAGTGGGGATGTTTTTAAGCACAGTCAGCTTTTCTTTAGCAGATGTACCTATAAATTTTAAGTAAAGAATTTCCATAGTACATGGACATATTCTGTGTGGCTTTAAGGTAAAAGGACAGTGCCAGAAAAGGGAAAACTATTACCACACTCGTTTCTTGGATAACATTCCTTAGTAGCCTTTATTTTGTCTCAAATTGCTTGATTAATTTAGAATTTTAATGCTTTAATAGGTCTGCAAAACACCTCTTCAAGGTCTATGATTTTCTAGTTGATAGCCATGAACTATTTCGTGGTTGGCAAGGTCTTCTTGCTCCTGTTTTTAATGATCTTAGAGCTACTGCTTGAGCTGGGTTTTTTTTTTTTCCCCCATTAAACATGGAATAATATAAAGTGAGAACATTCTCAAGTCCACTTTGAGCCAAAAAATAGGGATCACAGGTATTGAGACCACTGTAATTCTTCATTTCCACGTAACTACTCACTCAAGGCTCCTGCAACCATTAAGAAGTGGGATAATGAGCCAGGGTTTTGAATTCCAATCAAATCACAACGGATAACTCATGATAACTTGGCTAGAAAATCCTTTAAGGTCCTGCTTATTTTTTTAATCTGGAAAAATATCCACTCCAGCCACACTGTGAAACTGTTTTCTGTATGACTCCAATGTAACTTTTTTCACGAAAATGAATTATCATAGAAGCCCATACACAGATTTAAAGTGTTTTGGGGGTCACAGCAAATCGAATGTTGTGGGGGCTTCAATCAACCCCCCAGGGGGATCTGGGGGTTTAGATGAGGAGTTACCCACCTGAAACATTCCTCCCTCAGTTTTTCGTTTATCTTCCCCCTGTGATGGTTTTGGGGTTGAAGGTGTTTGGTTTTGGGGAGGTCGGTGCTCTCTCAGAGTTGATCTTCACGGATTAATTCCTAGAATTCGAGTAAAAAAAAACTGGCATTAAAATAAAGACTCCATGTCTAAAGTTCCCAAACACAAGAAAGCTTGTTTGTAACTCCTGCTGTTTCTCATTTATTTGGGAAAACCTCACTCAAGTGCTGGTGTAACTCTCATGGCACAGCTACTGTGCTTTTAATTAGACTGTCACCTCACTGAAGAAAAAGAGGAAAACCTGGTCAGGGCTAATGTATGGAAACATTATTTATCAACAATTAATTGAAAAAGACATAAAAGACATAAAAATATGCTACTTTTTTAGCATATTACTCAATTTCAAGGAGTCTTTGGAGTGGGAGAGTTACACTTTCAGACGTGCCCTTATGACTTTAATTATTTCCTAAAACTATTAAGATTTTGCTTGGCATTTTGTTTCCCTGCATTCAACAGAACTTCGGCAGCACTGAAGAACAAGAAAAGTAAATTATCCAGGTCTGACTCTCGGGGTTAAGCCTGAATTTTGTATCAGTTTTTCTTAGATCTGGTAATTCCAAGTGTAACTTTGACTTGGAAAACAAGTGTGATGCTGCAAATGTCCTTTAAGTGTTGCCATAGCACTTTTCTTCCATGAAGGATTTATTCATTTTTTTTTAAATTCATTAATTTTGACTCCAAAACACTCAGAAGTCTGGAGTGCCAGGTATTTTCTTATATATAAACTGGGGGGGGGAAAAATAGTCTGGTGAATGGGAACTGATTTTTAACTGATTGTCACATAAATGTTGCTTTCCAGGGGGGTCACGAGCAGCTTCTAAAAATGATGGAAGAGCGTATGATGGATGTTGAGCAGAAACTAAGGCTTGTGAAGAGGCTTCTCCAAGATAAAGTAAATCAGCTGAAAGAACAAGTGAGTATTCCTCGTCTTCCTCAAGTCATCCCCATTCCTTCTGGAAACAGCCAAGAGGGCAAAAGCTGCCAAGTCATTGCTCAGAATGAAGTTTAGAGTGATTTTTGTTTTAATGCTTTTGAGCCTAAAAATTCCTAAAACTCCAAATTAGGAGTTTGGGAGTCTGCCACTCAATGATTTCCTAACTCAGGAAACAAACATCAAATTCCAGCCAAGGATCCCTAACTGGAAAAGTTTGCTTAAAAAAGGAGGAAAAAGAACTTGATGAAGAGTTCAGAGAGGATTATTGTACAATTACTGATTTCTTTGATGCCTCCTGCTCCAAATACACCTTGTTTGGTGTGGGGTTGGGGGGGTTTTGGTTTTTGGAAGTGTCTCTGTGGGATCACCGGGCTTCTCTTGCGACCTGGATTTATCTGTGGAGGACAAATGTTATGAAGCACTTGAAGCCCTTTATCATCTCCTTGAGTAGCTTTTCCAGCCTCAGAATATTCAGAATATTCAGTCTGAAGACTCCGGGTTTTTAACCAAGATGGTGATAAGATGAACGGGTGGGTTTTTCCTTCGACGTTCGAGTTACAACCAACACGTCCGCCTACTGGTTTTATTTTAAATTTTAATCTAAATTTAATTTAAAAATTTGAATTTTATTTTAAACGTTAGGGGTGGTTTTTTTTTTTGTTTTTTATTTATTTATTTTTAGCCTGGTGAGTAACTGTGTCCCGTTCCCACCCCAGCTCTCCAAGAACACCAAAGCGGACGCGATGGTCAAGGATCTCTACGTGGAGAACGCGCAGCTCCTCAAGGCTCTGGAGGCGACGGAGCAGCGGCAGAAATCCGCGGAGAGGAAGAACTATCTGCTGGAAGAAAAAATTGCCAACCTCAACAGGATAGTGAGGAACTTGGCATCCCCTTCCTTCAGCTCAGCCTCCGAGGTCAGGTCGTAGTGAAGCCACTCCGGGTGTCCCGGGCCCGAGCACTTTACTGAAATGAAGCTGATGGTTCAGCTTCTCACTGCGTTGCCTTTTCTTTTTTGTTTTTCTTTTTAATGTATGAATTTTGGTTAACAAGGAGAGCACAGAGCTAAATTCCCAAACTGGGCACTGCCAAACGAGAGTTTTGTTTGTTCCCAGATTGTCTTTCTGCTAAGTTTTGCCTAAAAGTAATGTTTGCTACGTAAAAAAAACCAAACCCGTGTGTTTTCTAGGTTACCTTATTTTGCTGCCTCGGGTTTCATGTAATATCTGAATTCTGAATTTCCTGTACTGGCTCAGTTTGTTGAAGGCTGACCTGTCAGTATTTCTAGGTTTTGGAGCATGAGTTATCATTCCCAGAATCCACACTGAAGCCAAGGCCTGAAAGCAAATTTACATCACTGAATTCAAAGCTTTAAAATATTTTTGGCTTTCTAAAATACTTCATGCTCCAAACCTAGAAATGCTGATAGCTCAGGCTTCAGCTGACCAGTCAGCTGAAATATAAATGTCAGTATAAATGTTATGAAAGGCAAGACTTTCCTGGGATGGTCTGTGTCCTACAAACTGATTCTGGTCTTTCTAAAGAAATTATGCATTAGGCTTCTGAGTTATTCTTCATAGCTTTTTCTGTGCAGAGCTCAGAAAAAAAAAAGGTTTATTTAAAATATATAACTAGACTGCTGCCTCCAACTAAGTGTAAAAGTATTTCATGTGAAGAAATTTCCCAGCTGGCAAATAAAGACTGTTTCTATTTTTGGTTTTTTTTTAAGCTGCCAGACAACTTATAAATTGTAGAGGCCTTAATTTTTTTGTATGCGGAAGTAAGTTATATCAAACACAGGAAGAGTCACTCAACGGAAGCGAAGATGGGAGTTTTGTTTGTATAATTCTGTAAATTTATTATATATAATTTGTAAATTCAGTAGAGCAGTGCAGTATGTTTATTAAACAGCTGGCAGAAGAATGAAAAGGGGCACTTGGATGATTTTTGTCAGTGGAATCCTGGCGTTGGAATCCTCACAAACACGGAGCTTTGCCGTGAATGCAGCGTTTGTTTTGACCTGAGGGATGGTCTGTAGTAGATCCTAGTACAGAATTCAAGTCTGTGATTAATTGTAATTAATTGTGTGAAGAGACATATTCAATGTGTATACAAAGAACTCAGGGAATTAAATTAACTTCCTTCAGCGTTGTAAATGTGGATATAAATGTCAGTAGAGGAAGATAAATACGTGTTAGGAAAAGCAGGATAAACCAAACTGTATTCGGGTGAGTATTACCTTAGTCCTCCTTAACCAACAGAGGAGCATCAAGGTTTGGAATGAGAGGGGATCCCTCCTGTTGGATCAGTGGGGGAGGCTGGGAGAATGCAAGTTTTTTGGGAACACCTTCAAACCAGACCAGTAAGACACCAGTAAACACTGTAAATCAAACTGGTGACAGGGGCCACGCTGGCAATACTTGAAACTGGACCTCTTTAAACAGATGGCTGAGAACACAGAGGGAGAGGTGTTTTGTCTCAGAGACCACTAGTAAGGTGATAATTCTGTCATGAGCCAGGAGTCCCCCAGAAACTGGGATAACACTGCCTGCAAGCCGTGGAGGAACCTCTGGAAAAAGGAGTTTTACTTGGTGCTGATTAGCACGTGGCTGTAGAGGATGCTCTCTGTGTCTGTGGGGTTACTTCTTAATTTTGGAGGGTTGGTGGGCCTTCTTCCTCCTCCTCCATTGCAGGCAACATACTGGAAATAGAAATATAATCATGGAAGAACAAACATCATGTTGCAGCATCACACAGTCCTTATAAATCATTCCACTGCTGTGCTTCCCTAAATGCCAGGAGTGGGGATTCCTCCAAGTCATCTCAAACCCAAGGATTTGCTGGTTTTTTGGAGGCTGCAAAAATATCTTCCCAAATTGGAATCGTGCCAAATTGATGTAAATCTGAGGTTTTAAAAAGCTGAAGTAGTGAGATCTTGTTTCTTTTAATATTAAATCACCAAGTGGTCTCAGCTACAATAAATCTCTGTGTGTTTGCAAAGTGGGAACTGAGCACACCCCTAAAACCAGACCCATGCTATGGGAATTAGCAAAGCTCCAAAATACTTCCAGGAAACGAAGGAAATGAGGTCCAGAACTGCTATTTGGGAAAATACTATTAGCTAGCACTAATTTAGTACTAATTATTTTAACACTAGTTTGTACCTTGACCTTGGTTTACTTCTGTCTGTGACCAAGGTCTGAAGAGAGAGAATATTTCACTTAAGTTGTTGTGCAATTCATTTCACATGACTCAATTTTAAAGGCTCCACTGCTTAACTAATTCTTTTAATCTCCTGGTAGTTACCAGGCTTTTCCAAACCAAAAATACAGACATTGCAAGAGCACACCACCAAAAAGGGAGCCCAGGTGTTGGAATAGAAGGGAGAAACAGAGAAAAGGGCCTTTTGGCTTCTCCCTTTCTCCCCTATCCTACCTTGCTCTGCATTTATTTCATTTACATTCAAAAAAAACCCCCCAACCTAAGCAGAGGAGAGAGGAGGAGGAAAACGTCCTACTGGTGAATATTTTTGAGGCAAAACTCCACTTCCACTGGTGTATTTGTGTGAATTAATTCTCAGAAGTGCCTTTTGCCATTACACATTTTAGAGCCTTTCTCTGCTGTGCTGGGTTCGTTGCTCCAGGGTAATTCAGGACAATCCCTTCCCAAATGGAGGGATCCCAGAGAAAGGCAGTGCTGCTTACGGGTGTCTGTGTTGCTTCTTGGTTCTCATTGTGTCAGCTCAGAAGAGAAGCAGCTCTTTTTACAAAGTCCAGGCTACTGAAAATAACCATATAAACGTGTAAATTATTAGAGCATTAATGGTGTTTTGTGCATGAATGTGTCTCCTATGCAGTATAGGCAAAAACCAAAGTATTTAATGTTGTAGCAGTCAAAAGTCACTGAATTTTTAGGCCTCGTTCATACAACAGGTCTTGCCATGTCACATATGAACTACTTTATTACCAGAAGGCGGTTTAAGTGTTTTCAACTGTTGCTTTATGAATCACTGTGAAAATAAAGGCACATAGACATTTCAGGTTGGGGGTTTTGGAAGGGCACAGTCCCCAAGTTAAATTTATGTGTACTAAATATCACACAGTTGAAGTGCTGCTTGTCAGTTTAGAATGATTTAAAAGTCCACATTGTGGCACATTCTCCAAGTAGTACTTAAATACAAGGAAAATTGAATTATTTGAATTCTGGTTGGAAAAAAAAGAAGGGTTGTAACATATTTGATTTTAACCAGATTATGAGTTAGGTAGAGCAGGGGACAGTCTGGATCTATCAAGTAAAACCCTTTTGTTTACTTTCAGCAAATACCACCCCTGTCTCTCAGGATTTCCATCATTTACCTGTTCAGTCTCCCATTTGGTGTCATTTCATGATGAATGACTTCTGTATAAATGAAAACAAATGTATATATATTTTTTTCTATCGAGTTCGTTTTGTTCTGGTGTAATATATTGTCCTTAGAACATCGTGTAAAACTGAGAGATGAACCAACTTACACATTATTTATAATGGATGCAAAAAAATACATTAATGTATGATCCGTGCTTGTGTCTTTTGTTCTTTATCCAGCGTGAAAATCGTAGAATCATGGAATGATTTGGGTTGGAAGGGGCGTCTAAAGGCCATGGAGTTCCAAACCCCTGCCATGGGCAGGGACACCTCCCACTATCCCAGGTTGCTCCAAGCCCTGTCCAACCTGGCCTTGAACACTTCCAGGGATGGGGCATCTGCCACTTCTCTTCCCATGGAATTTGCAGGCATTTCAAGTAGTATCTGCAAATTTATCAGGAAAAAGCACAGTTTGGCAACTATGAAAAGTAGTTTCTTCCATTGTGAAAGTATGAAACTGATTAAAGTGTAAAAATCTTGACAGGTAGTGAATGCACTTCATCTTACTATCGAGGACACCCTGCCCTCAATTGAAATTGCATTCCTATTTTTCACTTTTATATGGAAAATATTCAGTGCTTCTTGTGAGCCTTTCTTGGAATGGACCACTGAAGGTCATCTAGTCCAGCCCCCCTACCCAAGCAGGGTCCCCCAGAGCGCGTCACTTGGGATTGTGTCCAGACAGGTTTTGAATATCTCCAGGGAAGGAGACTCCACACCCTCTCTGGGCAGCTTGGCCAGTGCTTGGTCACCACACGGGAAAGAAGTTCTTCCTCATATTCGAGTGGAACTTCTTGTATTCCACTTTCTGCCTGTTGCTTCTCATCTTATTGCTGAGCACCACCAAGCAGAGCCTGGTTCATCCTCTTAGAACCACAGAATATCTTGAGTTGGAAGGGACCCACAAGGATCATCCACTCCAAACCCTGGCCCTGCCCAAGATACCCCAACAATCCCACCTTGTCCCTGAGAACGTTGTCTAAAGACTCCTGGAGCTCTGGCAGCCTTGGGGCCGTGCCCACTGCCCTGGGGAGCCTGTTCAGTGCCAACCACCCTCTGGGGGAAGAGCCTTTTCCTGAGATCCAACCTAAACCTCTCCTGGCACAGCTCCATGCCATTTTATTTGCACCCTCCCTTCAAACACTTCTATACATTGATAAGATCCCCCTCAGTCTCCTCGAGTCTGAACTGCCCCAGCTCCCTCAGCCTGTCCTCACATGAGGTGCTCCAGTACCCTCATCATCTCCACAGTCCTCCTTCACTGGACTTACTTCAGGAGCTCCATATCTCTTGTCCTGAGGAGCCCAGAACCGGGCACCTTTTAACCTTCTAAATCTTCCTCTTTTGATGACCAGTGTGAGGACAAGAGGAAACGGCATTAAACTGAGACAGGGGAGGTTCACAGAATCCCAGGATGGGTCAGGTTGGAAGGCACCACAGCGGATCATCTGGTCCCAGCTCCATGCTCAAGCAGGGTCATCCCAGAGCACAGGATTGCGTCCAGATGGCTCTGGAATATCCCCAGTGAGGAGATTCCACACCCTCTCTGGGCAATCTGTTCAGTGCTCAGTCACTGCACAGGAAAGTTCTTCCTCGTGTCCAGGTGGAAATTCCTGGGCATCGCTTTCTGCCCTGTGCCTCTTGTCCTAGAGAAGGACAAGATAAGTCAGTGCGTGTGCCCAGGTGACCGAGAAGGCAAATGGCACCTGGTCTGTATCAGGAATAGTGTGGCCAGCAGGACCAGGGAAGTGACTGATCCCCTTTTCTGGGCACTGGTGAGGCCACACCTCGAGTGCTGTGTCCAGTTTTGTGTCCCTCAATTAAAGAAGGACATTGAGGGACTGGAGGGTGTCCAGGGACAGGAATGGATCTGGGAAGGGGCTGGAGCAGCAGGAGGGGCTGAGGGAGCTGGGGGGGCTCAGCCTGGAGAAAAGGAGGCTCAGGGGGGACCTTCTGGCTCTGCAACCCCCTGACAGGAGGGGGGAGCCGGGGGGGGGGTCAGGCTCTGCTCCCAGGGAACAAGGGACAGGAGAGGGAATGGCCTCAAGTTCCACCAAAGGAGGTTCAGGTGGGACATCAGGAGGAATTTCTTTACAGAAAGAATGATTGGACATTGAAAGGGGCTGCCCAGGGAGGTGGTGGAGTCCCCATCCCTGGAGGTGCCCCAGGAAGGACTGGACGCGGCACTCAGTGCTCCGGGCTGGAGGACAAGGTGGGCATCGGGCACAGGTTTGGACTCGATGATCTGTTTTTCAAGCTCGGTGGTTCTGCGGCTCAGTGATTCTGTCACTCCGTGACTTTGAGATTACGGGACTCTCCGGGGTTCGGGCATTCCGGGTTTCCCCGGCACCCCGGGACTGCCCGTCCCCGTGAGGGCCGGGGCCGCGCCCTCCCGGCCGCGCGGGGGCGCTGTGGCGGCGCCCCCTCCCCTGCGCTGCCCGCGGCCGGCCCGGAGGGCGGCGGCCGCCGCCTTCCCACAAGGCCCCGCGCGCCCGCCGCGTCCCCTCAGCGACCCCCGGCCCGGCCCCGCTCCCCATCCCCGGCCCGATCGCGGCCCCGTCCCGATCCCCGGGGGCGGCCGGACCCCCCCCGCCCTGCGGAGCGGGGAGCGGCGCCGGGCATGCGGGCGGTGGCGGCGCGCCGGGAGGTGGGATGCTGTCGCGGAAGAAGACGCGGACGGAGCTCTCCAAGCCGGGCGAGGTGCAGGGGAAGTACGTGAAGAAGGAGACGAGCCCGCTCCTGAGGAGTGAGTGTCGGGGGGGACGCCGCGGGGACACCAGCCCGGGGTCCGGGGGGACGAGCCCGAGGCCTTTGTGTGCGGCCGGAGCGGGGCCTGGAGCGGCGCGGCCTCGGGGGGCGCCCGTGGAGGATGGGGGGTCATCCCTGTGTGTGTTTGTGTGTGGGGGTATTTCTCTCTTTCTCTCCGTATATGTGTGTGTTTAATTCCTTTGTGAGCCCTGGGAGGTGACGGAGGGAAGATAAAGGGAGCCCCACTTTGAAAGAGAGCGCTACGCGCGTCGGGTGCTCATCGTACCCCAGCTTGGAGGGGTTTGTGATTTCCTCAGTTCTCAGCTCCTCGGTTTCGGCAGGTCGGGGCTCACGGAGTCTCCACACTTCGTTTTTGCGTAAATTAAGAGATCACAGGGCCAGGTTGGATGGTCTTGGAGCACTCTGGGCTGGTGGAAGGTGTCCCTGCCCGTGGCAGGGGATGGAACACGATGGGTGGCCTTTAATGTCCCTTCCAACCCAAACCAGTCTGTGATTCCGTGATTCCGTGACCTCTCTCTTTCCAGAATGGAGTGGTTGTTTTCCCGATGTGCTTTGGGAATGAGATAACTGTCCTGGCAGGCAGTTGCATAAAATCCCCGCGGAAGCAAACGCTCCAGGTCCTATCCGTGACTCAGCCCGGTGAGGTCACCTGGAATGCAGGAGCTTCCCGTGGCTCACCTGGCTCTGATGCCACAGCCCCGTTTTCCTGAGACTGGACAGAACACTGGCAAACACCCACTGAAAAGACACTAAGTTTTCTTTTTTTTTTTTTTTGTTGGTCTTTGATGGCAACCCGAGACTGAAATGTGTTTATTTACTCTGTAATTGCGGGATTAGGTTGGAGTTCCCAGCTAGCAAAAACTGATTTGCTGGCAGGAGCAGGCACTCAGCTTTTCTGGGAGTGTTTGCTGCACGAACAACTGGTTCCTCAGTCAACAGGCAAAATAATTTAGTAGTTTGGTTGCATTGGCTTAGTCCTTAAACACAAAAACCCAACTGATTTTCGTTCTGTTAAGCTGTGGGTGTGTCTGAGGTGTTCATAAATTTACTCATTTATGCTCTTACATGCCGTGGAGTGATCACGATAAATTTACTGCTGACGCCTTCTGGGGTGCACCAGATTTTTACCCTAAGATTTACATTTTACCTGTAAGAGCTTATTAATAAAAAGTAATTAATAATAGGCACAACCTCGTTCTGAATGAAAGCTGTCATTCGTGTCGACTTAGCTGGAGGGAACTACTTAATTTATACCACACTGAAAGTAAAAGCAGGGAGAGGAGGAACGTTTCGCTTACTGGAGGGAGGCAGTGAAACTGTAAAGGAGAGAAAGTGAAATATCTCCATGATAATTTGAGGATTTAGCATGTGCAGAGTGACAGCATTTTTCTGGCTGAGCCCGGTGATTTTGGGATGGGTGGACATGGTGTGGATTCTGTTCCTGTTTCCACCCTGGATTCCTGTGAGCCTGTGGGCGTTAACATCTTGTTATTCCCAGTTTGTAAGCACAGTGTCCCCAATGAAGTAGTAGCCAGGATATTGGGATTTTCTTGACCCTTCTAACAGATGCAAACCCTGACTGATGCAGCCACAGCACAGAGTGGGTGGGTTGGGGTTTTTTGTTTGTGTGCTTTTTGATGGGTTTGGGCTTGGTTTGAACTGGCAAAACTGCACCATCCTGGCACCAGTTTGTTGCTGGTGGAGGGTGTGCTGGTTCCTGTTGCACCAGGACACCCTGCAGCATTCCCAGTCTGTCTGCATGTGCATTAAATGGGTTTTACACAGGAATTCCCTCAGTTCTAGGGCGGTGGTCGGAGGCTTTTACGTGGAAGTGCGGGCAGAGTTCTGACTTCTCTTCCCTGCTCTTTACCAGACCTGATGCCTTCCTTTATCCGCCACGGTCCGACCATTCCAAGACGAACTGACATCTGCCCTCCCGACTCCACGCCCTCTGCCTACGCCCCTGGAGGAGATGGAATTGTTTCCAGGAACCAGAGCTTCCTCCGAACCCCAGTGCAGAGGCCGCCCCACGAGATAATGAGGCGGGAGAGCAACAGACTGTCTGCACCCTCCTATCTGGCCAGGAGTCTGGCTGATGTCCCAAGGGAATACGGCTCTTCCTCCCAGTCCTTCCTGACAGAAGCCAGTCCCGGGCTGGAAAACGGAGACCCCGGAGCCCGGTGTTATTATTATGATCACTTTTACGAGGCCCAGAGGAGGCGGCAGGTGAGCGACCGAGCCCACGAGGACTACAGGTATTACGAGCACAACAGCGAGCTTTTCCAGAGGATGTCCCAGAATCATGGGAGGCACACCTCAGGTAAGGGCTTTTAGGGGTTTTGCTGAGAGTTTGGGTGCACCTGGATGATGTTTTTAGGAGCTGGGCTGTGTAGGACGGAGCTGCTTTTCCGTGATGTTTCTGTGTGGTTAGAGTTGAGAATTTGATCACGTGTATCCAGAAAGGGAAGATACTCTTTACAGGCTCTTTATTTATTAAATAAATGGGATAAGTTTAAGCAGATTTTGGTTTTCTTAATGCCAAGTATACATGCAACTCCTCTACACAAAGTTGCATCAGTCCCTGGCTAAGAAGGTATTTTGTTCTTATTATTTATTAGGGGGCATCCAGTTTCATGACAGAGAGAATAACCAACAGCTCTAGATTATAACATTGCAGCATCGTTGTTGTTGTTATTATCATTCTATTTTAACTCTCATTGTCTTGTTATTTAATGTCATTGTTTTAATTTGACCTCAATAATTAAAATAATTGCTTATGAATAGTCTAAGGGAGGAATGATTGCTTTGTGTAATTTGCAAATTGGCATCTGGTCCTGGTCCTTGACTCCTTCCTTTTAGCTTTTAATGTTGTTTGTAAATATACCTGTTTTCCCCCTCAGTTTTTCACTTGTCTTTGTTTTCTAAAGAACAGCTTAAGAAAGAAGAAGCCATTAAATACTACTTTTCTGAAATATTTGATTCTGTATTTGATGCTCCAAGGAGGAGTTTGACAGAAACATTTCAAACCTGTAAATAACGTGCCTTCAACGTTAAATACATTGTCACTTGTAATCTGCAAACAAAATAGCAATTAGTCTCTAATAAAATAAATCTCCTGTCTAGAAAAATAAACCTGCCAGGAAGAACATCCAGCATTCAATGCTGCTGAGCTCCTGTGTGGAATTAGAACCTGTCAGGGACCTGTGTTTCCTTTACCACAGGAACATTTCCATGAGAAGTGATAGAAGGGGGATGTGGGAGCTGTCAGGCAGGAAATTCTGAAATGCTGAGCTTTTAAGTCTTGCTGCTTTAATCCTCCTTTATTTTGCTAAATGCATCTGATTTACCTCCATCTCTGCTGCTTGTTGCTCATCCAACAGTCATGAAACCCTCACCTGGTGCAGGTAACGAGCATCTGGGAGAGTTGTGCTGGGATAATTTGGGGAAGAGAGGCAGGAGGGGAGGATTTCACAAACCAATCCATCAGTTTGAGTTCAAAATTACTACACTTGCTGTGTCTGCTGAGGAGACTTCAAAAATTAAAGCTCTGGCCCGAAGGTGGAGGTTAATCTATCAGATCTTCAAAAGAAGCTAAAAGCAGGGCTTCACAGCCATATTTTTCTCAATTGTAGCAATTTCTTCTTTCTAAATAAACTTTTTCCCCCCTGCTGTTTGTTTACCTGTGTCCCCTTAGCCCTGGAAGTCATGAAGGAGCTGCTGCTGTTTGTTTGGTCTCTGTCATTCAACCTCATATTTAACATTCAATAGTTTGAACAAATTCTACACAGATTTTGTAAGGGGGGGGAGGATTTAATCTCGTGCATTTGCAGGGAGTGACAAGGGTGAGCCTTTTGTCTGCCAGAGTGTTTCCCTTTCCTCTGTTTTGTTTTTTTACTTTTAAATTTATCTCAGCATGGAACACGAACTCCGAAATTCCTCTCTCAGCTTCACCACAGTAAGAATGTCACTTGTGTCCTTCATTTTTTACGTCTTTTCAATTATTGCTGTTACTTTTTCTCAGCCAAAGAATTATGTGGCCCAATATAAGAAAACCTTAGATTTTCTTGCTTTCATCTCACTGCGAAGCTTCCTTTTTTTTTTTGAACCATCATTCAAACCTTGAGTGTTTCCCTTGAGCTGCTACAGTAATTTTTCTTTCATTTCTTGTTCCTTTTTTTCCCCCACAGTTCCAGAATCCCGAGGCAGGCCTTTTGCTTTCATTGTCTTTGTCTAAATTCCTTTTTTTCTTCTGCATCTGCCTTGCTGCTTCTAAATGTTCGACCTGATCGATATTATTCATTGAGATAATCGTTGGCAAAATTGCCTCATACCTGCAGTTTCCAGTTAAAAAAATCTCTTTATTGGGTGGAGTCTGTAAATGCTGCTTTCTCCCCTTTCCCTCCTCTCTCACCCTCCCTCCAGAGGTCAGTTCTGGTGCGTTTTGGGTGGATTCCCAAGGAAACGTTGCCTGATGAACACAAGGAGTTGTTGCTGTTGGTGAATGTTTCATTTAGTGGTGGTTCCACCGGGTGGTTTTTTGGGAAGTGAGAATTTCAGCTTTCACTCAGAATAAAGATTCTCCTCCTTATAATTTGGAGAGAAGTTGCAAACATGTTCTCAGTGAGCTCTTCAGGGTGTTCAGCAAAGCAAGCCCCGTGGTTTTTCAGCAGTTTGTTGACAGCATTACATGTTCTTTCACAAGCATTTCCCCTTGAAGTCGTGTTTTCTCTGTCATTATTCAATTCTCCCACGTTCTCCTTTTCTTATTTTCATTAAATTTACTTTTAATTACCAATCCAGTGTTGCTGATTTCTCTGAACAGAGTTCTCAGTTGAGATACCTCCTGGTTTTATATGTTTACCTACCTCTGTGGCATTTCTTGAACTTTTTTATTTCTTTATTATTTTTTTTATTTTTTTTTTTTAGTGTCCTTTTCAAACTTATTTCTAAGAGCCTTTACCTGTCTTTCCTGGCCATGTCTTTCCTCTCTTCTAGGTTAAAGTTTTGGGGAGGTCTGTGGTTGAAGTTATACCTACAGTGTAGCTTGGAAGTAACTTGTAACCAAGACCTCAGAGTTATTTGTCCCTGTGTGAGCGGTAAGAACATTCTTCTGTGTCTATGAAAAAATTGCTGAGATTGAAATCACAGTGTGGAGGGACTTTTGGATTGGAATTAGTTCACTGGGATGGCAGAGGAGAGAAACAATTAAGGAGGTGAAAGTAGGTTCGTCTTGTAAACCTCGTAAAAAATTGCAGAGCGGTGTCCGTGTTTCATAAAAGAGCAAAATAAATACAGATTGTTACATGAAACCTGTCTAGGGCTAAAACAGCCACACTTTTTAGGTGTTTACACCTCTCTCATTTTCAAACAAGTGGCAGTTCCTGCCCTTTTCTTCCTTTGTGCTGATTTTTGCAGTAATTTTGCAGCATAATTCTTGCAGCTTTCACAGTCCTTCCCGTCATTTCCTGCTTGTGAAGTTGTGCTTGTTTGGAACGCCCCATTCCCTCCGACAAAAGAGGTGCCTGTGCTCAGGAAGTTCCTTTGGATGCTTTGGAATGGGTTAGGAGGGCCTGGGACCTGCAGGCCTGTCCAGACAGAAGTGATTGGAGCTGCTCTTTGCTGTTTTGTTGTTCCTTGTTCCCCGAAAATCAAACAGTTGGTTCGTCTTCTCTTCCTGTTCTTCATCCCGGTTTGATGAGGGGAAGGGAGAGGATTTTGGCATCCTGGGAAAAGGCTCTCGAGACAATTGGGCTGGTTAAAGACACACACTGGTTTGTGAGATTTGCCCTTCAGCACTTTGGAATGTGGTTGGAGGCAGCTGTGGGGAGTTCCTGGGCTCTGGAACTTCCCTGCCAACATCAGCACAGTTCCTACGAAAGGGAGACTTTCTCCTCGGAGGTTTTTCCTCTTTTTCCATTATACTGGTGCTGGGATTTTCCTCCTGTCCTGTCTGCCCAACAGACTGAAGAACTGCCCTTTGCTGACCTGGAAATCTTTCCTCCAAAGGACTTGGACTTCTTTCCAGGCAGGGAATGAACGCCCTTCACAGGGCTGGGAAAGCTCTGACACATCAATTCCAGTTTCCTTTGTTCCATCCTGAGGGAACAAACCCAACACAGCCTCCTTGGCTGAAGAAAACACTCCAGATTTTTCACATTCGTGACTTTTATTACCTTAAGATACATTTTTGAGAGAAGGAGCTCTTTACAGTGCACTGGAACGTGGTGCTCAAAGTTCAGGGTGGTAATTCAAGACCTTAAAATTGAAGATTCTGTGTTTTAGAAATGGGAGGAAAAAGCAAAGCCTCAAATAATTTCAGCATTGATGTTCCTTAAAAGCAACAGCAACCCCATTATATACCACATAATACCCCATTATATACCACATACACCCCATTATATATTATGTTATATCATTATACCCAGAATTACCAAATGAGGCTAGAAAAGCCCTGAAGAGACATCCTGAAAAGGATTCACAACTGCATAAATTTCAGATTAATTGTTGACCATCCCTGAGATTTGACAGTGCCACTCAGGGGAGTTTGTGAAGACCAGTGCTCATCCTCTCAAAGCAGAGGAAAGGAGACATTTGGAAAAAGCAGATAATTCAAGCAACTCTGTTCCTCAGGAAAGCAGGAATAATGAGAATTTCTGTCTTGCTTAGGTTCAGGGCTCAGACCTTACCTGGAATTTAAACTCAGAAGAGGGTCATTCCTGGCAATGTGCCATGGAAAAGGCAGTGTCAGCAGTCCGTGGGTTTAGGCTGGAGCTTGGAACTTTCTTCTTTGGTTTATATTTTGGGAGAGATCACATAGGAATTTACTCTCGGTGTTGTTCAGTCTTATTATTGATACTTACAGGTGTATGTATCTAAAAAAAGTCAATTTTCCTCTTCTCTTCTCGTTCAGAAACACAGCAGGGGCTTTTTCTCTTACCTGTGTATCCACTCTCCCTCAAAGGAGCATCTGCTGAGGTTTATCAGGAAAACCAATATATAATTTCTTTTGATCTCTCTAATGAAACTCCGTTTATAGGAGAAAAAAAAAAAGTCTAAATTGTACCAGTTGTTGATTTTAATGCCACAGTGGGTTGGTGGCTTTAAGGCACTATGAATATCAACATCATGAAACTTCCAACGCAGAGAATATCCCAACATGAGTTTCAATTTCAAGGGGAAAAACAATAATTACACCCTGAAGTATTGGCAGCCATCAGTTTATAAATCTGGCCTTCGATTCCATGTTCATGGAGCACTGTTGATATGTAAGTTTTACTTTGTTGGTGTGGCTCTGCTTCTTCATAGCTGAAATCAAAATGGCAGATATGTATTTGTGGCCTGGTATTATTTTTGTTCTCTGCAATCTCAGAAATTAAACAAACAAACAAACAAACAAAAAGCTGCTGTTGGGAGAATCCAGGAGAACTTCTGGTGCTGAGGGTGGATGGTGCAGCTTTTAATGCAATCTTCCAAGTGGTGGGAAGCATCAGCCTTTACCCCGAGGAATAAATATAAATATCTGTGTATTTGCTGAATTTAAGGAGGAGGAACTGTAAAAAACATGTGCTGGTTTGAACAGCAGACGGAAAATAGGGGTGGGGTTTTTATCCCCAGTCTGTGTGTTCAGATCTCCTGGCAGTGTTGATTTAATTGGTCACTGTTAAAGAGTGACTATTCTATAATAATATAAACATGTAAATATAAATAGTCACGAGAGTACAGGAAATTACAACCAGTTAATTGGAGAAAATCCAGGGTTGTTTTTTTTGATCCAAAGTATTTTCAAGAAGCTGAAATGTTTGTATTTTGTCGGTGGAATGAAAACCAAACAAGTGACATCACTGTGAGGGGCTGGAATATCCTCCCTGCCCCAGGACTTCCAGAGATCAGGAAGCCTCCAGGATGTTTCTTTTCTCTGGAAGTAGAGGTCCAGGTTGCTTAAATCCCAATTAAAGGTGGACACAGCTTCCCCTTATAGGCTGACAAATAGGTAAGTACTGAAACAAGAGGGAATCCTGTAAGGCCAGACAGTTCAGAACATGAAAAAGCTGGAAAAAGATTTGTGGATGAGCTTGAACTTTTGAGGAACAGTGTGAGAGGTCTTTAAATTTATTTCCTATTTCTCCAGTTGCTCTGGAGCCTTCCTGTAACTTCACTGTTGATGAATGCCATGTTTTATTGGGAAATAACCCACCCAGTTTTCAGTCTGTCATTTTGGGCGAGAGAGACTCTGCCTTTCCCTCCCCTTCCCTCAAAAAACAATCACACAAAAATGCTATTCCTGAAAAACAGGAGGAAAGGGGTGTATTCCCGTCAGTAAATGTGGGATGTGTGATGGAGGCACTCTCTGACTCCCAAAAAAAAGTGGGAAAGGTGGCTCCCAAATCCCTTCTGCTGGCTGTGGGAAACGGTGGCACTGATGATACTGGGATTGACTAGATGCATTTGGCCGTGGGATGAGAAGACAATTGGGAATTTCTTTGGAGCCAGAGGCTGTTTAACTGCAGAACTGGAGGAACCGAGGGGGTTCCCTGAAAAGGATTTAAAAAATGGAGTTGAATTTGGGCTGACACATCCAGGAGGTTGTAGATTCCCAGGAATGGAAAGAGACCTGCAAAATTCCTGATGATGTCACTGTGGTTTTGTGGTTGGGGTTTTTTTGGGGTGGGGTGTTTTTCTGTTTTGTGTTCTTTAATTGCCATTATGTCTTTAATTTCAACCAGCTTCCTAATTACCCCTAGGAAAGGGCAGGAAAGGAACTGTGTTTCTGTAGTGCATCTCTCACCATCCAGCATGTTAATTTTTAAGATTTTGAAGTGCCAGTGAGCAGTCTCTTAAATTCAGTGGTAGATAATAACCCCAAGTGTGTTGTGTTTCCAGGGAAGAGGTGGGAATTTAATCACCTACTGATTCCTGTCAGCCCTTCACCTCCCTCCTCTCTCGTTTTCCCTGATCCTGTTGCTGTTCTTCACTGGCTCACCTAAAAAACATTTTTGGGGTTCGGTGATTTTCCTGGATAGTTGTAATTTCTGGCTGTAACTAGAAAAAGAGGGGTTTTCATGGATAAATGGTGGAGCTGTAACAGTGTGTTGACAGAAATGATCATTCCTGGGAAGCTTTAACTAAACCCTGATCCTCCCGTTTTTTTTCAGGCATCGGGAGAGTTGCTGCTACATCTCTAGGAAACTTAACAAATCATAGTTCTGAAGATTTACCTCTTCCTCCTGGCTGGTCAGTGGACTGGACTATCAGAGGAAGGAAATACTACATAGATCACAACACCAACACCACTCACTGGAGCCACCCTTTGGAGCGGGAGGGGCTCCCGCCGGGCTGGGAGCGCGTGGAGTCCGCGGAATTCGGGGTCTACTACGTGGATCACATCAACAAAAGAGCTCAGTACAAACACCCCTGTGCTCCCAGGTGAGGCAGACAACCTCCTCCTCTGTGCCTGTGCTTCCCTTAATCCAGTTAAAGCGGAACCGGGTTTGTCTGAACGTGCCAAAACCTTATTTTTAGAACCCAGATCTTGAGGAGGAGGTGTAATTGTCGGCGTTTTGTCTCGTGCTTCTGTCACAAGTTTAGAAACAGGATATTGCTCCTCAGTCACTCCAACAAAGCAGCTCTTCAGCTGTCAGTAAAACAGCAAAGCTGCTGGGAGCAGAATTGAACTGTTTAGACTGGAAAGAAACTCGATCTGATGCTCACAGAGACGGCTGAAGATCTGAAACGTGAATTAAGTCTTGTCTAGAATGAAAATTGGTGTTTTAGCTACTTGTATTTTCCAGGTAAAATAAAGCTAATATAAACCAAATCCAACAGTGAATTCCTGCCACTCAGTCTATTTTCCTGGTACCCAGGAAGAGAAGGTTTTTTAACATGTGGCACAAAAGATAGATATATGATATATATTGTATATGAATGTATGAGAAATATAGGAGGATGTCTTTATATGGAATAACTCATCAGCTGCTGCCTGACTGCATTTGTTCTGACACATTAAACGGTGGATTATTTGACTGACTCAATACTTCTTTAATGTTTTAGAACCAGATCCAATGCTTTTTCTGTGCTCTGGTGAGTGGGTGTGAGGGGAATTTCACCCTGTGATTGAAACAGCAACGGCGAGCTGCTCGGTGCAGACCTGCCGAGGCAACACGCCCCCGGTGTGGTTGCACCACCAGCCTTTGCACACACCAATCTGTGCATAAATGTCACAGTAAATCCGGAGGTCAATGCTGTCGGTGTGTCAGGTACCCTGGGAGCTCACGGCTTTCCCTGTGTCCTCTCCCAGCGTTCCCCGTTACGACCAGCCGCCCCCCGTGTCCTACCAGCCGCAGCCGGCGGAGCGCAGCCAACCCCTGCTGGTCCCTGCCAACCCCTACCACACTGCTGAGATCCCAGACTGGCTCCAGGTCTACGCCAGGGCTCCTGTCAAGTGAGATTTTGCCTTTTTTTTTTTTCCTTCTGCAGCTCACACTTAGAAACTAAAGAATTTCTATGTAAAGTACAACTCGTGCTTATGTCTGATTTTGTTGCTCACAGCACATGAGGGAGTTGTACCGAATGTTTCTCACATTTGCTTTGTTTCGGGCCTTACTTGAGATCATCACAGCACTTCTTGCAGCTCAGAGGGTGGAGGGTGGGATTTGCTTTCAGTTTATCTTTGTGAGAGCGGCACCACGTGCTTAGAAAATATGTGAAACATCTTCAGGGTGTAACTTCCTCCTGCCTGTCTTGCTCCTTTTTAAGAAACACTACTTTTCTTTCACCTTTAAGAGTTTTAAATCATGGAATCATGGAATAACAGAATGGTTTGGGTTGGAAGGGACATTAAAGATCACCCAGTGCCACCCCCTGCCATGGGCTGGGACACCTTCCACCAGCCCAGGTTGTTCCAAGCCCCGTCCAACCTGGCCTTGGACACTTCCAGGGATCCAGGGGCAGCCACAGCTTCTCTGGGCAAACCTGTGCCAGGGCCTCCCCACCCTCCCAGCCAGGAATTCCTTTCCAATATCCCATCTCACCCTGCCCTCTGGCAGTGGGAAGCCATTCCCTGTGTCCTGTCCCTCCATGCCTTGTCCCCAGTCCCTCTCCAGCTCTCCTGGAGCCCCTTTAGGCCCTGCAAGGGGCTCTCAGCTCTCCCTGGATCCTTCTCTTCTCCAGGTGAACACCCCCAGCTCTCTCACCCTCTATATTTTTCTCAGTTGTTTTATTCTGATCAGTTCACGGGCTCTCCAGTATTTCTGGTGTCTTGGTGTGATCTGAGGGATCGTGCCGGGATTCTCCCGACTCAGTTTCCAACCTGGCTCCGATTTTGCCGTCAGCCCCCAAAAAACCCCCAAACCCGCGGATTTGCCACGTCTAAACCCTTTTTCCTTCCCTCCCAGGTATGACCACATCCTGAAGTGGGAGCTGTTCCAGCTGGCGGACCTGGACACGTACCAGGGGATGCTGAAGCTGCTGTTCATGAAGGAGCTGGAGCGGATCGTGAAGCTGTACGAGGCGTTCCGGCAGGCGCTGCTCACCGAGCTGGAGCACCGCCAGCAGCGCCAGCAGTGGTACGCCCAGCACGGCAAGAACTATTGACCCCTCCCCACGGACTCCCTCTGAGGACACTCAACAGCTTTAAAAAAAAAAAAAAAGAGGGGTTGTTCGGTTGGTGGTTTTTTTGTTTTTTTTTTTTTCCCCACCCCACACTCAAAACCCTGAAAAAAAAAAAAAAAAAAAAAGTGCTTTTGTTGAAAAGGCAGCTTATTTTTGTTGACGTTGCACCTTTGTTATTATCCTCTTGAGTATTTTTCTACATGTATTATGTGTTGTTTATAAAAATGGAGATTGTTTGGTAATCCTTTTTTTTTTTTTTTTCTTCTTCCTTCCCCTTCTCTCCATGCAAAGGAGTAGTTTGTTATCCTGAAAACCAGCGTGGAGTTTGATCAGAGCCCTGCTCCCACTCTCTTTCCTCCCAGTCAGCTGCAGTATTAAAAGCTGACTTATATATTTTTTAAGGGCAATAGATGCAACTGTGTGTGAAACGTTCCGGCTTCCAAACCTTGTCCAAATCCAAATGACTAGTTCAGGGTGTGTTTCCCTCAGGATTTGGGATCCCTCTCCTGAGAGAGCTCTGCTCTTTGTTTACAGCTTTAATGTACAGAACACCAACCCTGTTCCTGTTCAGGAGCACCAGGAGCTGATTTCTCCCATCAGATCCGAGCCTGAGTTGCCTTATTTTTTACTTCACATTTTACTACTTGTTTTCACTCAGAGGGGGAACACTTGGGACCTTCCTAAAGACCGAGATCTCGAAGCAGAGTTTTTTAAATCCTGGCTAAACTGCATTTCACAAAAATCTGACCCACTCTGGTGGGAAGGCAATGGCATTGTCACTGTGCCACCCCACGGGGAAAATCAGGGATGTAACAGCAATTACTGTTCTTTTTTAACGAGCTTTTGTCTTGTATTAAAGCTCCTCACTTGGGGAAAATTTTTAATTGTCCACTTACCCTCTCCAGTATTTCCATCTGGTTCATGAATTGTCCTGAAATGTTATTTATGGATTCTTTTCAGTGCAATAAACACTGCAGACAAAAAAAGTACATTTCTTGTAAATCCTATTCATTCAATAAAAATCATTTTGTTCGATGAACGAAGGGTCGTGGGACTGGTTTTTGGGCCTTTTGGAACATCAGGTAAACTGTTCTTACAAGCAGTAAAAGCCACGTGGGTTTGGGATGCTCCAATTGCAGTGGTGGCACCGTGTTCTGGGCCTGTCAGTGGGTAAATTACCCACAAAACACCAACTGTGAGAGCCAAAAATGAAACCAGAAATGTCAAAAACCCCAGAGGAGGAGGGGTCGAGAACTTTTTTTTTTTGCTAGTAAATAACTTTTCCCTGTCGAACCAACTTCTTAGGAACCAAAAGCAAACTTTAATAGTCCTGACAATAAAAGAATAGAACTGTACCACACGTCCTATGCACTATCATGGATAAATATGTACAGAAATACAGTGAAACTTCCTCCAACACAGCTACAAAGTGACACTTTGTGCAGACAAACAGAAACAGCCCCGTTCCCCACACATCGTTAACATTCCAACAGCAGAAGTGCCCTTACAGTGTCTGATAAAGCAAGTTAATACACCTTTAATTATGTTTATGTCATTAACTAGTTAATTGAAGGGAAAAAAAAAAAGTGGTTACATGTTATAACTCGTTCAAGTACCTGAAATAAATTGGCTTTTGGATAAGCTTCGGCCTCTTTTAGTTGCAGTATCACGTAAATGACTTGTTTCCCTCAGTGGGAACTAATTAAGAAGGGGGAAATAAGGCTTTGAAGATGAGCTGGGAGTCGCTGGCTGGGACAGCCCAAAGCGCTCGGCTGCGGCTGTGCCGGACGGACGGACGGACACCGCCGTGCCAGCACCGGCGCTCCCCGCTCCCGGCGGCATCTGGGGTGGACAACGAGGGTGAGGGCTTGGATCCGAGGAGGAGATGGCGGCACCACCACCTCCGTCATGCATCGGCGGGAACGTGCTGGGATTCACACCTTCTTCCTGTCGGGACCGTCGGGCTCGGCGCGCGGGGCGGGGAAGGCGTGGTGGTACAGGTGCCTGTGGGTCGCGGCCGCGCTGTACAGTTTGTACAAGGCCTGGGGAGAGACACACAGCTCGCTTACAACCCCATTCCCAACCCCGTTCCCAATCCCATTCCCAACCCCGCGCTCGTTCCGCAGCGGCACATCCCGGCCCACCGCAGCCCGTGTTTGTTCCGTGCGCCGACGCGATCGTGACAAGTGTCCGACACACAGAGATCCCCAGCTCGCGGAGTGAGGGCCCGAGGGAATGGCTGGAGCTGTGCCAGGGCAGGGCGAGGGTGGATCTCAGGGAAAGGTTCTTCCCCCAGAGGGTGGTTGGCACTGAACACGCTCCCCAGGGCAGTGGGCACGGCCCCAAGGCTGCCAGAGCTCCAGGAGTCTTTAGACAATGCTCTCAGGGACAAGGTGGGATTGCTGGGGTGTCTGTGCAGGGCCAGGAGTGGGACTGGGTTATCCCTTCCAACTCAGGGAATTCTGTGATTCTACAGTTCCAATTTTTCAAACATCTCACCCCTTCTGAGCTGTATTCAATCAATAATTTGGATGACGAGGAAGAGACACCCAGGGGTTGTTTTTCCCTACGAGTTAAATTCCTGCGGCCTCAGCACTTGCTTTCCCCACCAGGCAGATCCGTAACTGCATCACACCCAGGGCCCTGGGCGGTGACAGGTCATTGTCCTGATCGTTTTTCTGCTGATGTTGCCAATTTTTTCCTTCTGATTTTACCATTTTCCACTAGTCCTGGAGTGACTCCAGGGTCAGGACACTCAGGAGTGGCTGCGGTGCTGAACCAGAGCGGCCACAGGTTGGTGAAAGGCAAGTAATTCCCCCATCCAACATCCCCCTTCATCCCTCACCTTTATCCCAGAACAAAAGGCACAGGTCTGGCTGCAGAGGACTTGTCATGGCTCTGACATTCCCATTTTAAATGAAATTGTCACTGGGAGACTTTAAAAAAAAACAAAAAAACAACCCAAATCCCACCAGCTCCTGCTGGGAACTGTTGGTGAGCCAGGATTAGCTCTGGAAGGGGTGGGAAGAGGCACCTGACAGGCAGGAACCCTCACACTGACAGGGTGTTCCTCATGTGCTCGGGGTGTGGATGAAGGAGGCTGAAGCTGCAGCAAGGAGGAAAAAGGTGGGGGATGAGAAAAGTCCAGGGATGTCCAAGGTGATGCTGAACCCATCCCAAAAGGGAACAGAAGTGGTGTTTTGGGATTGTCTGGGAACAGAGAGGACTGGTGGAGGAGTTCACCTCCAAACCATAAGTGACCTTGCAGCATTTTGGGCTATTTTTGGGGTGTTTTTTGATGCCAAACCAGTGTCTCAGCGCTGATTTTTGCTTGGCAGGGTTTGTCCAAGAGCTCATCCACAACAAAGCCCCTGTTCTGCCTCTTGCTGGTTTGGTATCAGTGAGGCACCAAACAGCTGCCCTGGCTGGGAGGGGATGAATGGGCTGATTTTTAACTGCTGTGTTTTCTTTTTGAGGGATTCCACATGTAACTCAGTGGCTCCAAAGTGTGCTGGCACTGACAGATGGAGCTGGCAGGCTTTGGTGACAGCTCAAAAGATGGAGCTGTCCTGTCACAGCCTCACTGGGGAGCCACTTGGCTGCAATCCTGGATTAAGGTACGTGAGCAGTAAATGCAGATTAGTGGGAAATCTGTCTTGGGTTAATCAGGTGCTGACAAGGCTCTGCCTGAACAAGGTTCCAGTTGCCCTCGGCCCTGGCCTGGCAAAGAGCTGGGCACTGGGATCCTGCACTGCTGGGCAAGGGGAGCTGGAATGAGCCCAGCCCAGGAAGGGCTGCTGTGGCTGTGTCCATAAATCATGGAATCACAGAATGGTTTGTGTTGGAAGGGATCTTAAAGCTCATCCAGTGCCACCCCCTGCCATGGGCAGGGACACCTTCCACTGGACCAGGTTGCCTCAAGCCCCGTCCAACCTGGCCTTGGACACTTCCAGGGATCCAGGGGCAGCCACAGCTTCTCTGGGAAACCTGTGCCAGGGCCTCCCCACCCTCACAGCCAACAATTCCTTCCCAATATCCCATCTCTCCCTGCCCTCTGGCAGTGGGAAGCCATTCCCTGTGTCCTGTTCCTCCATCCCTTGTCTCAAGTCCCTCTCCAGCTCTCCTGGAGCCCCTTTAGGCCCTGGAAGGGGCTCTCAGGTCTCCCTGGAGCCTTCTCTTCTCCAGGTGAACCCCCCCAGCTCTCCCAGGTCTCCAAAGCAGAAGGTCTCCAGCCCTTGGAGCAGCTCCACGGCCTCCTCTGGACTTGCTCCAGCAGCTCCACATCCCTGTTGGTGCCCCAGAGCTGGGGTCTCACCTGAGGGGAGCAGAGGCACCTGCACAGTTGGTGCTCCAAAACAAACTGGGTTTGGGTTTGACCTCTCAGCACAACTGGAAAATCCCCAAACAGAACTGATGGGAGATGAAAATCCCCATCACATCATCACACTCCCTGCCCACATCTCTCCCCCACTTGGCTCCCAGCACTTCCCACAGCAACACCCTTCCCCAGTCATTGGTATCAAAGGGAACAACCAGAGCTGCTGCCCAGAGCCCCCACAGTCCCAGTCCTCCACAAGCCCAAACGTGCAGCCGGGTCCAAGAGGCTTTTCCCGGGATCCCAGGGCCCAGCTGGCCCGAGGGAACATGCGGAGAACAAAGAGCCACTTACCTCATTCGTGCTTCCCTGGGAGAGGCATTGGGAAGGGGGAGACAGAAAGAGAGAGAAACATCTCTGTGTATCACACGTGTCCATGGGAGCACACGGAGCTCATCCCTGCTGTGTCCCCAGGGAGGCTCATCCCAAACAGGCAGGACCCCTCACCGCTCAGTCCATCCCTCCTGTATCCAGTCCCACTTCCATGGATGGAGCCATGAGTGCTTGGAATCCCCCTGGGGCAGCCCTGTGGCTCGTGGTGGGCAGAGTCTCACTGCCCAGCCCGGCACCACCCGCCTGCACAGCTCCTGCTCCAGAGAACTTTCCCTCTGGTTGGAATGCCATGGAGGCCAGCAGGAGCCATGGAGCAGCTCCAGGCACTTTAACCTCTTTATTTTCCACCAGCTGGGCATTTTGTAAGTGGGCAGCAACTTCCTGCTGTGTCCTGTTCTTGCTGAACTCCCACTGCTGCCTGCACTGGGATGGGCAAATGCTGGGCTTGACTATTCCAGCAAATCCCAAAGGCAGCTGGGAAGTGTCCCTGAGCAAAGAGCCACTGGAGGGGGGGTTACTGGGGGTGCTGAGGCTGCTGGCAACAGGGAAGCCAGGATGAATCCACCTGGGACACAGGTGATGTGCTGCCACTACCCAGCTCTGGAATGAAGGAACTGATCATTAAATGCTTCCATTATTTTCTCCCCAAGCTGCAGTTCCAGCAGCACAGGGAAGCAGGGAAATGTGCTTGCTTTCCATGGAAACCTCGCTGGTGGATGAAAAGGAGGGAAGGAGCAGGTAAAGGTCTGGAGAATGGCCCTTCCTGCCAGGAATCAAACCCTTGGTGGTTTCTGAGGGATGAGCTCACCCGGCTCTGCCATGGAAGAGCAGGAGGCCACTGCAGCCTTCCAGCTCTCTGGGAACATGGATTGCACCCCTGGATGGGCAGAGGGGGTCAGTGGAACATGCAGGGTCTGGGCTTTCCCCAGCTCTGCAGTGGGAAGGGCTGTAACAGGAAAGAAAGGCCTGGTGCCAAAACAGGCGGAGGTAAAACCTGGCCTTGACCTCCAGCAGACCCAGGAGAGCCAAAATCCCTGCCCTGAACCAGGGGAGGGAGGTGGATCTTCCTTTTTAACACAGACACGCACAGGACAAGCACACACACCGGCTCTGAGGATCCCAGTGGGATCCATGGCAGAGCTGCCCCATTCCCACAAGGTCTGAGGCTCCACCAACTCACATTTGGTGATGGGTAAGACAAGTAGGGGGAAAAAAAAAGAGCCAAAACAAAAGAGCTTGCTTTGAGTTTTCTCATGCCCAGCCCGGATCTACACAGCTTGTTTTCCAGAGGCTCAGGGATGCAGCTCCAGCCCTGCTGTTCACCCTGCTCTAACACAGGGCTGTGACATCCCTAAGACACCTCACTTTGCAGCAAACTCCACAAACTGCACTGAAAGCAATTCCTCCGTCCCTCCTTTCCCCACTGGAAGGTCTAAGGAGTGGGTTAACACTTAAAACAGGGCACAGATCACAGCACGAGCAGCTGGATCTGCCGGCTCTAACAGCCCTAAAATCCCAAACCATCTCAACGGGGAGGCAAATCCCCTCCAGAGCTCAGCGGGGTGGGTGGGGTGGGGGGGTTTGTTTTTCTGTTCAAACCAAAAGCTCTTTTTATCCTACCTGGTCCCACAAGGCTGCGGCCACTTGGTCTATTACTGCTCCCAGTTCTCTGTACTCCCCAGAGTATCTGATATAAGCCCAGGTACAGAGTGTGATAAGTGTCAAGCCCATGATCATGTTGCACAGACTGGCAATGATGTCCAGGCCCACGAAGCTGGTGACGCCGGCGATGACGTAGGTGATGAAGATGACGACGAAGAGCGTGGCCGGGGTGCGGGCGGCGTGGAAGATGTTCTTGCTGTCGTTGTGCTTGATGTACTGGATGTAGAGCTCGTCGATCTCCCCCTCCAGCTGCTGCAGGTACCTCCGGCTGAACTCCTCCCCTCCCATCTTCTTCACGCCCCGGAACAGCCGCACCGCCTCCTCCCGCAGCTCCGCGTGTTTGCTCTGCAGGTCGCTGGGCGCCAGGAAGGGCTTGTCCCCCCCGCACACCTGCGTTGGGAAAGGCACTGGGGTGGCACCTGGAACGTCACCCCCCGGGAACGGCAGCACCCCACAGACCTGCAAAACGCCGGGATTGGGGCTCTACAGGACCACTGGATCCTGCAGGAATTGCTCCACGACTGGGCTGCCCACCCGGTTAAACAGACGGCTGCTGCCCCATCCCACAGCTCCCTGCTCAATTCCCTCGTAGCTTCCCGACACTGACCCTGAATCCCAGCATCTTCCAGAGCTGGAAAGCCCTATTTGGAAGCATTTTCCTTGTGCATCAGAGTATGGATATATTAGTTTTAAGGTGCAGTTTGGCCATGCAGCTCCAACCGGCAGCGATTTCCAGTGTTCTGTGATATAATCCTGGGATACTATGGATGAACAGAGTGAGGGCCTGGAAGTGGCTGAGACAGCCAGGGGTCTGAGCTCCACCTTCAAACATCACACCCAGCCCCTCACCAGAGCTGAGGGTTGGGCTGACAGAGCAGGACACTGGTGAAAAGCCAGTTTATAATGACTTTATCCCCTAATTAGCACCAGCCATGGCACAGGTGACCACCCCACTCCATTACATTTTTGGGGAACGCTGGGAAGAGAATGGAAGCTCAGCAGGGGCCACGTGGTCTGCAGAGAGCTGCCATGGGATGAAGCAGTGACCATGTGTCACTCACCCTCCCCTGTCCTGCCATGATATCAGGCTTTGCTCTCCTCCAGCCTGGGAGAAAGAGCCTTTTTCCACCAGGAATATAGTACAGACCCTCCTTGAAACCCTGACACCTGGCCAAATCCATGAAGGACATTTTCTACTAGGAAACCAAGCAGGGAGGTTTCCCTACAAGGGTAGAGTTGAGCCTGTTCAGCCTGGAGAAGAGAAGACTCCAGGGAGACCTGAGAGCCCCTTCCAGGGCCTAAAGGGGCTCCAGGAGAGCTGGAGAGGGACTGGGGACAAGGCACGGAGGGACAGGACAACCAGGAATGGCTTCCCACTGCCAGAGGGCAAGGTTAGATGGGATATTGGGAAAAAATTCTTCCCTATGAGGGTGGGGAGGCCCTGGCACAGGTTGCCCAGAGAAGCTGTGGCTGCCCCATCCCTGGAAGTGTATCCCAGGCCAGGCTGGAAGGGGTTTGAAGCAACCTAGTCTAGTGGGAGGTGTCCCTGTCCATGGCAGGGGTATTGGACCAAGATGAGCTTTAAGGCCCCTTCCATCCCAAACCATTCCAGGATCCCATGCAGGAGTGACAGGAGCACTGTGAACAGACATGCTCAACACCACCCACCTCTTCCATCTTCTTGCTGTAGGTGTCTTTGGCAGTGGCAACTGCTGCTAAATTGTTGGCTTCTGCTGTGGCCTGTAAGAAGGGCAAAAGGGGCACAAAATTAAGGTGCAGAAGGACAGGGTTAAGCAGTGCAACAGCAGGAAGTAGCTCTCTGGATACTCATGGTCCACATGTGTTCACAGCCAGGACACACGTGTGGACACCCGGAATTCAGGAGCTCCCTTGCTTAGCCAAGCGTGCTCTCCCAGCCTCCAACCAATCCCAAATAAGATCATCCCCTATTTACGCATCCAAAAGCCTGTATAAAGAGAGGATTCCCTCCCTCCAAGCCAGAGCAACGAAATCTTTGGCTTTGGCTGTGGGAAACAGCAAGGAAAGAGATAAAAGGCTCAGCTGTATATAAACAGCCACAGCTGCACCCTCTGGAATGCCGGAATGCCGGCTGGCTCCGGGAGTGGAGCAGCAGCCCAGGAGCCACTGCCTACATGCAGAGCCCTGTCACCTCCCTGTGTGGCCCCATGGATCCCCTATTCACCTGTGGGGGATCATTCCAGCTGAGCTGTGCAGCCAGCAATTCCCCACAGCCCATCCAAGGGGCAATTCCTAAGCCACGTCAGGCCCCTCGACTGCCAAATGCTTCCCAAAACGCTGCTCCTTGGGTTGTTACATTAAGGCTTTTGGAATGCAGTCACAGAAGACCCAATGTGATGCACTAGCTGGACAACTCTGGGAATTAATGGCAATTCCAGTGCGTGGATTCCCACCAGCTCCCACTCACATACCTGCAGCATCGACTTGGGGTGTGGCAACTCTTCCCCTTGGTAGATCTTTATGTATGCCTGGAAAACAGGAAATCACATGGAATGCAGCACACATGAGCAACACCAACCACCCCCACCCAGCTCCAGACACAGCTCTGACAGGATCTAAAGGAGGAGGATGTTACTGGCACGAGGTGGCTTTGGTCAGAAAATGTGATGTAACGGGGCTCAGGGTGGACCCAGGGTGGCCTGGATCAGTCACTCCAGGCTCCAGTCACCCTCCCATTGGATTTGCACCTACCTCTGTCCTTCCCTGAGGGAGAAGGAGCCAGAGGCAGGTAGCCCTGGAGAGCAGGTGGTGAGAATTACTCACCGATGCCTCGCGTGGAAATGTCCCAGTAGTCATGACAACAAAAATAAGCTCTTTCCAAAGGCAACAGGAATACAGCCCTCAGCTCACCCCCCTCTAGTCCTCAATTCTCCAGGGGAGGAAAACAGCTCCTCCCAGTTTTTGGGCTCACTGTGAGGTCAGGTACAGGCCCATGAGGTGTTTGCCCTCTGCTGCAGTGAGTCAGGACTATCAGGGCAGCCCTGCCTGCTCCTGTTTTCCCCTTTAATTAGAGCAAAAGGCTACAGGTGAATAAACCCATGTTCTCTTAATAGGCCAATACCTTAAAATACTCCACAAGGCCTCGACAGGTGATATGGTTTCCATTGATCTCCTTAACATCCAGGCTCTCGGGACTAAGAAGCCAAGGAATCAAAATCTTCAAGTTCTTGATGAATTCGTCGTCTATTTCTGGAAAAAAAACCAACAAAAAATGGCATCAGAGAATCACAGAATGGTTTGGGTTGGAAGGGGCCTTAAAGACAATCTCATTCCAATCCCCTGCCATGGGCAGGGACACCTTCCACTAGAAGGTTCTTCCCCCTGAGGGTGGTTGGGCACTGGAACAGCTCCCCAGGGAATGGTTACATCCCCAAGCCTGACAGAGCTCGAGGAGCATTTGGAAAAAGCTCTCAGGCACTGGTGGGATTGCTGGTGCTGCCATTTAAATTAAAGTATATGGGACTGAAGACAGAAAAACCAGTGCAACAGCCAGACATTTGGAAGATAAGGAGAGCAGGGAAGATCTCCCACATTCCCTCCACCAGAGCACAAAAAGCTGAGCACAGCTCTGAGGGGACAAGGAAACTGTGTCAAGAAG